CGAAAGACACAAGATCACGTAAGAACAAGAGAGTGAAAAAGTCGATTTTTTTAGCGGGTTCTACGCCATCTTGTTTCACTGGAAAACGAGCGAAAAGTAAACAAAGCAAAGAAAACAACGAAAACCAAAATGAGCCAAAATTATTGTCAGCCACTTTAAACGCACAATTTAGGTAAAATGATGCAACAAAATGCTTTAAAATGTGTTGTCATGTTGAATTAACTCTTCTTTACTTGAATAAAAGTGTAAAAGAGCGGTGCTTGTGATGTAAACAAGCGCTCAGCTGACGAACCCGCTTTCGCAAACTTTTTTCTCAACACCAGTTACAAATACAACGTCGCGTTCTTACGTGATCTTGTATATTTGGTTCATGACTACCTATATATGTGCATTATTTTGCTTTTTTAAGGTTTTCCAGCACTGTTTTTAACATATTAAAAAGCAGAAAAAATTCATACATGCTATGTCCAATATACGGAGCAGTTTTTAAAGACGATTCTTTTCCTATATTTTGTTAGACTTTTCATAAGTAAACATATTTTGTTAATATTACTTTCTTCATATGAATTATATCACATGTTTTGTTTAATTCAAGGCCTATCAAACAGGTTTGGAGCATTTGAGCAAAAACAACATTTGCCTGTATTTTGTTGTTGCTTCTGGTATCGAAGGTGCCAAAAACTGTTCCGATTTTTTCTTCTACATCAAAGGGTATCATGCGAAATACGAAAAAGGTAAAAAATTTAAATTGAAAAAATTAAAATTGTTGCAACTTTCTTTCTTAAGAAATTGGTTCGCTTCTCGAAGCATTGATCCATCCTGTGCCAGGCCCAGTAATCAGCGGGCGGTTGTGCTGCTGAGTTGGGCGAGCTTTCCAAAAGCTGCTATTTAATCGCTGGTTTTGTTTGGAAAATGTTTCACATGCAAATAGATTATAACAATTTACAATTTTTGTGAGAAGAAATATAAAATATTTGACATTTTCGAGAACAAATAATTTGAAAAAAAAATCAAATCAGCTGCTATACTGATATTACCTGTTCAATGTGCCTTGGTTTAATTGTATTTTTGAAATAAACAAAGTTCTTGTTCCTTCTGTCAGTAATTTGTTTTTTTTTTTTACAAACAGTATAAATAAGCAATGGGAAATAATGCAAAATTTGTTTTATTTCCAATCTTTGTTGGAAATAAAGCAAAACTCAGATTTTGGTATTATTTCCGATTTAAAAGGGAAATAAAGCAAATTTTGCGTTATTGCCGTTTGTGTTATTTCAACTCCCCCTCCCCGCCCCCCTTCCCCCTCACGCATCGTCCGTTCAGAAGACGCATAACGATCACTAAGTTTTTTAGCAACGGTTGCGCTCAACTGTTGCCCCTCGGAACCTAGCCACTTTTACGAGGGGTTCGTAAAAAGAGCACCATACAAATTTTGACAGTTCTTTTACAAGGCTCCTAAATTTACGAGGTTTACGGGGCGACCCATATTATAGCAGGCCTCCGTATCGATCGTTTCTCAGCTAATACAATCTCAATGGTTCTGCAAACCCAAATCAACCAGCTAGTAATTAAGTTCAAAACAAGATACATTTTAGTTTGAATCAACCGTAATTTTTTCATAAATCTTAACAAAGCATATTACAGTAATTTCTAGAATGCAATGTAATTGGGTCCTTGCCTCCTTTCTATTTTATTCTAGATCAATCGAGGATAAAATTCTTTCTTCCCTATCAAGGGTAATTATTTATGCCCAACAAAAACCAACACTGAACACACCACGTATGATAGAGAAAAAGTAAAGAGAATAAAGATTTAGCAATTCACCCGATTCACAATTCACAAGGAAATTTTTTGTGTTAAAAATCAACAGAAGTCAAATTAAGTTTCCTAAATAACAAAATTACGCGTTTATGCAGACGATAATGTTCCATAAATAGCAAGGAAGGTATTGGAGCAACGCCAACACTGTGCTAAGAACAAACAAGCCAAACAAATACGATAACAAGTGATGCACATAAACAAGGAAGAAGAAAAAAATATATAGAAGTGAAAACATTATTAAATACAAGCAGAAAACTGTTTGGGTAGCATCATTTTCATTTCGAAAGTGCACAAACTTTGTGCGTCTATGTGAGCAAAGCAGGATAACAATATTTGGCAAGAACTGAATAGCAGTTCATACTACAAAATGTCTGAGGAGATTGCGGGCAAACTGCATAAACTGGAAATTTCTACAGCGGAACTAGCCCACTTAGGAGCTCTTAATCTTATTGATTCTACAAATTTTCCACTCGCTTTAAATCCATTCTATGATGAGGAAACTGATGCCAGTGATCTAAAGCTTGAAGATAGCCAGTCAACATCGAATACTAAACTATTGCAACGTAGTCATCAGGGATGTAGACGTTGCAGATTGCGACGCCGGTCAGAGAGTGTAGCAGACGCGTATAAATCAGCGACCAAGGCCCTGTCTACGGATCCTTTGGATAACACGTGTTGGACGCATTCTACATTAGGAGTTCAACGGCAATCCTTAAAGCACCGTCGCAATATTTTGCGCCCTCCAGTCCTTCGAAAACTTCAAAATCTTCAGAAATTGCTTCAGACATTGCCTACAGAAAATACCGATCATACGTCAACATCTACTGTGGGAAAAACTGTTATTTCATCAATAGATAATGCAGTCTCATCGAGTACAAGTCGTGGAATTTGTAATTTCCGTGATTTAATTCACGAGTGTCAGAATTTATTGGAATTGGAAAACGATGTGAAAGGTCGATTTGGTTTAGTTAGTCCAGATCAACAGTTTTCCAAAAATTTTACAACTATGCAGCCATCTTTGGCCAAAAGAAGTCTATTTAGTAACAGGGAGCGAACAAGTTTTGGTGTAAGTGGCATACAACCATATTCACCGGAAAAGAATACAGGAGCCAGTACTCGCTCAACTGCCAGCACGTCATGTTCGCAACAAGCAGGCAACGGTGTCGGCACAGTGACTAACAGTAATGGCAACGGCGATGATGTGACCATCGATGAACTTGCTAGCTATTTTGATACATTTGTGCACATACCGAAGAAAATGTCAACAATGGCTGAAATGATGTACATATGAAGATGAGGAGTAAATAGATAGTGATAGGCATGAAAACCATGCAGTTTTTAATAATTAAACGCCACTTCTGTGTAATGGCGTTCGCAAATGAACAAACGGATTACTGAAGCAAACTTCAGTAAAAATGGATTTTATCAAAGTATTCAAGCAAAATAGATAGCGTTGTGCGTATCCACAAAATTTACAATTTATTTTCCTGATTTTCTTATAATGGCTATAAAATATAGAAATTTGAATTTATATTATTATTTGTATGGTACATATGAATGGAATTTGATTTATGTATATTAATTATAGCTGATGTATGTATGTAGCTTATAATAAACTATATTAAGCACTACGTTGGGTATATCAATAACTAGCCAAATAGGTATCACTAGTAGATTCGATTTATTGCTTTAAAAACAATGTTGAGCTATGCGATTTAAGAAAATTTTAATTTATGTACTCGATATTTTGCGCCATAAACACTTCCAAAATAATTTAAGGTACTCTGCTAAAATTGATATCGTGTCTTCGCAGTTAAATGATAAAAATAGTAGTAGGACATTTTCGTGGGGTTTCAAAACTAATGATACATATCCATGGTTAGCTTAATGCAAAGACATAGTTTCTACATTCCTATATCAATATGTATGTAGTATATGCTGTTACGCATAAATTTCCAAAGGGATTTTGGTATATATCTTAGCATACTTTTAGGCATAATTCAATTCCACCAGGCTTTTATGTTGCGCAATAATTGGCATCCAATATCAAAAAATTTTAACGAATTGTTACCGGTATTTGCTGCAAACGCACCGCACACCTTAAACAGACCTTGCAATAACCCAAACAATTTACAGGAGAGCGAATTCGAGAGCGTAACCACCCGAGAAAGCAGCAAATTCTTGCAAGTTAAAATTTGACTAGCAGGAATTTGCAGGTGTTAAAAAACAAGGCTATATTCCAAATTCAAATCTGAACAAAGTGTATAAAAGGATGATTTGATGAAACAAAGTTAGTGAAACGAAAATATGGATGAAGAATTTAAATCTAATGTATATTTTCTGATTTTTATGACGATGGAAATTATTAATCAAAATGAAAATTCAATAACTTTTGTCGTAATTTTCTCTTCCTCCATTTTACTGTTATTGAATGGACCTAGTTTTAGCAAACCGTAGAGGTAAAACGGCTATGATTGATATTTTATTAAAATCCCGAACATGGTCTCAAAATCTAGCGATAATATAAAATTTTGTTTGGAAGCAAACCAGGGCTCGAATCGTAACATCCGTTCACTGATTACGTGATACGTCAGGCAGTATAAGCTGAATGAGACACAGAGTACGTTCAAGTATGCCATAATCCGAAAAATGGGTTTTTACGTGACGAGTAGTACGATAACGTATGTGACGATTCGAGCCCAGTTTTGGCGTCATACAATCTTTATTGTTATGTTTCAGAAACTTATTTTTAACGATTAAAGAAAGTATAATTTCATAGAAACGCAATCATCCCTATTGCGATTGTCGACGAGTAGCAGATAAGCGACTGTTAGTCGACTATCGATTATCCGCGGTATTTTCAAGGCGTTTTCTTGTTCAATAAGTGTGAAAAGTTTATAGTCGCCCATTCTTCTACAAACAAATATATGTAGAAGGATGAGCGATTAAACACCATTCATAGTCGCTTGTTGAACAAGAAATCCACATTCACAATACCATAGAAAAGTCGTTTATCTACTACTAGCCGACACTCGCAATAGGGATGATTATTTTAAAGAGCCTTAAAAGTTAATGAGGCTATAAGGATTTGATCTCTTATAATCCGAACACTCATTGTAAACTCACCCTTATGGAACCAAAATACACCCCTGCTAAGCTGATGCAACTCTGTGCATTTTATCTTCGTGTGGAGCAAAATTGTGATTTGACGTTGGAGCCGACTCGATTTTATTCTCCATTCCCCATCCATTTGTGCGGTGTTAAATTATACACGTCTTGCGGTTTTGTTGCTGATTGAACTTTAACGTTAATTTTTTTATATTCACGCTTTTTTACGTGCCTGTTTTAAGGAATTAACAAAGAAATGGTAAGTGTATTACATAGTCAGTTGACACTCCAGGATAACGAACTGCGTTGCATTTTGTATCACCAGCGTATCTGGTTCTCAATATGACTTTATATAAGGAACAATTTGATATTAGCCTGGAGAAAAAACACTCCAATACTATTTAACATTCATTTGACCTTTATACTCTGCAAATACATAGAGTAAACGATAGAATCAGTAATCTATATAGAAAATATACAAAATACACTTTACCAGCAAATACATATGAATATGAAGTGGCTGACATGCACCGCAATTGATGATTGCAAAGTTTGTGCCATTGTCGACCAAGCTACTAATTCCCGGCGATGCGCCACGTCGCGATTAGCAATCAAATGTCTTGTGTATATATGTAAGCTCATCCGTTTGAGATTGCTATGTGTGGGAAACAAGCATACATATAAGCATGGAGCCCAGCGAATCATTTCTAGCAAATTACAGGTGAATAGAATGCAAAGAGACAATACCAATTGTTTACCACAAAACAGGTGACCTTGCAATCATATCAATTAATGCAAACAAATTTCGCCAAAAGCATACCGGCCGGCAATGTAAAAGATCTACAATTTAAAACAATTTTATTTCTAATGTATGTATTTTAAAAATACATGCATCAATTTCTTTCATTAGTGTTTTTTATAGAAATACCTAGTAATAGTAGTGAGTCCACCTTAGTTTAAGTGTGCATTCAATACTTACACATACATAACCATTATAATACACCGATTTATATATGCATTGGTTCTTATCAGCATTTAAATGTATTGCCTAAATCAGGTGATTTTATAGTGCTTAATCATTGCGGAGAACAGCACAAAACATGCCCTATTATAATTAATAATATAACAATTTGAGTTTGCCGGAAGTAAGTACATATGTACATAGATATGCACCAGAGTTGTGAAAAATGCATTAATTTTGTAATGCGTTACGGTACGTTAATTACCATTAAGCCATAAGTTTTTACGAATTTGCGTTTTTTTACTAACTTCCAGTAAAATCCAGTAAAAGTTTTTACGAATTTTCGTGTTTTGGCGTTTTCGTACACAAAAACTTGCAAAGTAGGGGAAATTGAGAGAGCGAAAAATGACAGTTGAAGTGCAAGTTTTTACTGGATTTTACTGGATAAATTTTTACTTGTAAGAATTTGCCAGTACGAAAAACAGCTGATCGCATGTTGCTGGATGAAATTTAAACTAATAAGGAAACTGTTTGTGGGTTTTTATTGTTGGATTTCACAAATCAAACCTATTTAAATATAAAATATATTGGCGCATATTCATAGTCATATTTAGTTCACAACTAAGTCGAAACTATCCTAAGTTACAACTAAAGCTATTCATAGTCGCCTTAGTTTCCACTTTTCTGGCTAAGTACCAACTTAAAATTTAGTTTCGGCTGCAGCTGCAATTAAGTCGTCACTAGGAAGAAGTATTTGATTAAATTAAAGAAAAAATACGAAATATGTAAAAATTAAGTGAAACTTACAAAGAGCGATCCATTTGAATCGGAAGATGAAATTAAATGCGTATTACAATTCGAATAAGGCTACATCACAATTTTATAACTGGAATGATTTACATATATAAATGCTAAAATAATAAGTCAATTTCAAGCTTGTTCTTTTAAAGCAAATTAGTGCATAACATTTAGATATGTGTTTGTATGTTTCACAGCATGCTTTCGACAAACATCAACTTCACATCATTGCGGTAGTTCTGGCTATTTCACACAATTAACAAGAAACTTATACCTTATTCTTTTGCATAAACATGCAATGAAAGTAAAAATTACATAAACGGATTTTCAAACTTGACATTATTTAATAAAAATGAAATTTTTCCAAAATATCGTAAAGAAAAATCGATACATTTTCACACTCGTTTTGCAATATCGTAAAACTAAGTTAAAACTACTTAGTAGAAGTCTTAAATGCGACTATGAATAGAAGTGAATTATAAGTTGGTACTTAAATTTAAGTTGCAACTTTATTAGTTTCGACTTAGTGGCTGGACTATGAATACGCGCCATTGTTTTATTAGGAATTTGCTGCGAATAAACATCCAATTTATCAGCAGTTCATGAAACTTGCAAATTATTACTGGAATAGCGTTCGCGTACTTTTTTGCAAATTTTTTCTATGAGAACTATTAGAAATAATACTTGCGTTCGACAAGTCAAAAATTTGTAAAAGTTTTTCCAAATTTTAACTGGATGGCGTTCGATAACGACAAAAAATTATTAGTTGCGTTCGACAAGTCAAAAATTTGTAAAAGTTTTTCCAAATTTTTACTGGATGGCGTTCGATAACGACAAAAAATTATCCAACACACAAAAATTGAGAGAGCAAGCGTTCATTTTGATGCAAGAGAAGCGTTCATTTTACACTGGCAAAATTTTAGTCAACAAAAATTATCCAACACGAAAACATATGATCACAAAACATATGGTTGTAATTTTTGTAAACAAACAAAATTGCGGTTTTCGGTTTTTGGTATTTATATGCTTTTTGGCTGCCTGCTATGTGACTTTAAGATAGTGCCAACTAGTTTTTACTTCTAGAAATGTTCCTGGTGAACATTGAACGTTCACTTTCATTTTTTCTTCCATGGAGGCAACATGAATTTCAGTATGTTTACAAATAAAACATAAACAAAGTCAGCTGGTGTGTCTTCTTCTTTCGGTTTTTGCAAGTGATGGCTAATTTCCTTTTTTTGCTTTTTCTTTTCTTTGGGAGAGAATTTTCGCTTAGGTCGGTGTTATGCAGACAAACTTTTGTTTGCCAAATTAAATGGCGGCTGCTTAGTTTGCTCGGAGGTGGTTATGTCGAGTTTGGCACAGGGTTGCACGTTCATTATGGTTTTCATGGCTATTGCCAACACGAAATGAGAATTTCAGATGTACATAACGCGCACAATTTAAAATTTTTGTATATGACAACACCGAATTTGCTGCAGTTTGACCAAACAAAATTAGTTTGCTGTGAGAGTCGCCAAACTCGCTCTCTCGCTCTCTCGGAGTTTGCCAAACAAAATTTCTGCATAACACCAACCTAACGCTCTTGATTTTGATTGTTGGCTGGTGTTGGCTAATTTTGTTATCGAACGCAACTAAAGTTACTGGATAATTTCTAAACAAACACAACTAATGTTTATGTAAAAAATTAATGCATTTATTTTTGAAATTTTGTGCAGATAAAAATTGCAATGAAATAATTTTGAAAATCAAATGCCTAGTAAAATATTAGTGCATTAATATCTGAAATATATAATGCTAATGAAATTTGTTTTCATTAAATTATCCAAACTTATGCTAATGCTTCACGCATTTGACTTTTTAATAATTTTTCTTGTTTGCATTATTAAAGATCATGTAGGTAGTTATTCTAGGAAGAACTATTTATAATTACTAACATTTTTTCAGCTTAATTCTATTATGTTTATTTCTAAAATAAATCTTGTAAACATTGTTAGATGTTTTATGAAAATAAAAGCAATTTATTATTTTTTGTTGCATACGGACTATATAATATACATACATATTATAGCAGTACATGTACACGACCAAAGAACTATTTTGATCTAAATCAATCAATAAACCATTTCTTATTTCCTTTTGACAATGTGTTTTTACCTATTTGACGACAAATGTTATTGATTTTGGCATAGTGTGCCGCATGAATAAAACCAAGGCGAATTTATATACTATCACCTTATATTAATTCGCCTTGAATAAAACCTAAGGAAATGCCAAGGTGAATTTATATATTATATTATATTTTAATTTAATATAATATATTATATATTAATTCGCCTTGGGAAATGCTTTTTTTTTTAATTTCAGACCTACTCGATTTACTCAAAAAAATTTAAGTGATAGGTATGAAATATTAAGTAAAAGCAATTGCTTAGTTTTTATGCATACGGCCCAGTGAAACCAACTTAACTTCCGCCACTATCTTTTTTGAACTCAAAGTTCTACCCTCAACGTCAACGAACAATTTTTACTTCAAATTAAAATTAGTTAAGTGGGTTTTTAATGCTTTTTATACTTTTATTGCAATATCATGAACCGTTTTTTTTGAAATTTCTTACACCTGCCGCACACGTCCCAAGGATGGTTAGAGGCTAAAATAATTTCGTTATATAAAGAGGGCGTGGCACCTCCCATACAAACCGAATTTTTCATACTGCATATCTCTAGAAGCGTTCATGGTAGAGTTCTGGAGCTTGGTATGGAGATATACGAAATAAATCGCATACTCTTGGAGAAAAATTTGAGCGTGGTACCTCCCATACAAACCGAACTTTTCATTCTGCATATCTCTGGAAATGTTCATGATAGAGTACCGGAACTTCGTATAGAACTTCGTATATGAATTAAATCGCATACTATTGGAGATAAATTGGGGCTATTGGAAAAGGGGGTGTGGCACCTCCCCTACAAACCGAAATTTTTTATACTGCATAAGTCTGGAAATTTTCATGGTAGAATACTGGAACTTGGTATGGAGATATATAAAATCAAGCGCATACTCTTAGAGAAATATTGGAGTTATTCGAAAGGGGGCGTAACACCTCCCATACAAACAAAATTTTTCCTTCTGCATATCTATGGATATGTTCATGGTAGAGTACTGGAACTGGGTATGGGGATATATGAAATAAATCGCATACTCTTGAAGAAAGTTTCGGACTGTTGGAAAAGGGTGCGTGGCACCTACCATACAATCCAAATTTTTCATACTACGGATCTCTGCCGCACACGTCTCAAGGATGGTTATAGGCTAAAAGAATTTCATTATATGAAGGGGGCGTGGCATCTCCCATACAAACCGCATTTTTATACTGCATATCTCTGGAAGTGTTCATGGTACAGTACTTGAACTTCGTATGGAGATATGTATGTACATATATGGAATCGAGCCCATACTCATAGAGAAAAATGAGGCTATTTGAAAAGGGGGCGTGGGGTCTACA